ATATCGAGGTAGAAATTTATACAATTCATCTCCACAGGAGAGTCATCTTGAAAAGAGTAGATGAAGCCTCCTGATGCTGACACCTTTAACTTTCCATGTTCAGAATCAGTATGACTTCCCCTCCCCCGCCCAAAGCCTTTCAGAAAGCAGTTCTATCTTAAAGTTTTGGTATTTCCTGTCTCACACGCAGAGATTGGCTCGACATGATCGTTACGACCGCTTAAACCTAAAGTCCTAAAATACGTAGGTACTTCCACTGCTAACCAAAAACAAGCCTCAACGGCGTAACTGTATATGAAACAAGTGATTTACAAGTAAAATAAAAGTATGAGCACGGCTAATAACTGAAATATACCAAATTTTCAAAAGACAGTAACAATATATTTTTGGTACGCGCTAATTTACTCCCTCACACAAGCTCACAGCCCGGTTGATCGTGGGCACAATCATTCCGTGACTCGATCCTCTTGACCCTTGTAATTCGAGGAGTTGGTCATAGTTTCATCCTTATTTCCACAGTCATCAAATAGAAGGGTACAACTCATGATTGTTGCAGAATGCATCTTTTTTACAATTTATTTCATGCTCTATCACACAAGCACATTCAATATAGTACAACGCAAAAATTCTTATGACACAATACATAAAAATATTAGTTATTAATAATTGAATTTGTGTACAACATCTCTCAAATGATCGAGAAGTGGCATATTAGTGATAATGTTCTCAGATTCTTCGAAGCATCAACCAGAAAAGAATCGACCAAGCTGACAATATGCTGAGTTGAATCAGCGTATTCTTTCTTTTTGAACAGTTGCGACTGGCCTGCAATGAATTGATCGATCTTAGTATCGTTCAGGCTTTGTTCCTTCGGCAGACCAACAATGAGCTTGGGGTGGATGATGTGAGTCTGCAACTCACGAAAATTCTCGATGCCATCCCTCTGCGGTATTGGTTTTGGCAGGTCCTCAAAAATAGTGCCAAAGCAGTTCCAAACTGAGAGAACGACGCGTAGTTGCCGTCATGCCTTACGTCGTTCTGAATGGCAACTCCACTTACCTTCGAACTAGCCTATAAGCATTTACACTTCGACATGGTAGACTTTCATTTCTGTAACGACTTAGAACCTGCTGCATTTGGCATTTAGAGTTTTGAGGCGATCATAGCATCCATTTAGTGTCTTTGTTGGAGACCATTCGCCTAACTGTTTCGACAGTTGCATTGGTCGAAGTGAAAAAAATCACTTGCAATGCAGGACATTTGGAAAGCTTCTCTGAAGTGTGGTAATGCTTGTATGCTCAAAATCAGCTAGTACCGACTGAGGAACTAAACTTGACTCCGCATGTTTGAAGGCGTCCAACATACACACGTAACTTGCGTCCATTATATCAGGTAGCTAGGCAAATCCTGATGGTATGGCGGTTGAGCACTGTATCTGTAGGTCACGTACATCTGCTGAAATAATTGACATGCCAGTTGAATGATTGCGACATTAGTCGCAAATTGTTCCGAGTAGAAAAGATTGGAGTGGCTCAAATTGCATTTAAATATATGGAGGGAATCTTTTCTCCAGCAATTTATTCAAAGGTGTTGGAAGATTTGAAAAATGTCGATTTCTGGCAATTAAGGCATGCTGAATGCAAGTCTCTGAATGATCATGCTGTAGCCATTACCACCTTTGGAAGCAACTTCTACGAAGCGTAGGCGTTAGTAGGGTATATCTTTCTGTACTGCAGCTCAGCCTCAAACATGCTGCCAAGACTTCAACATCTAAGAGTGTTGTTCGTCAGTATGGAGTCTCACACTTTCAATCTGATGGCCACATTGGACTCGAGATTTCAACACATTGTTCAGGTCAGCAAGAAACACATGTGGCAAGCCTAACGCCGCGATGTGTCGAGGATAATCTTTATCCCCCCGCACTCTCCATCTTATGCGCATCGTGAAGCCATATATTCAGCGAAGCACAATTGCGACATTGTCCTACTGGCTTCAGTGCAGTCCAGATCACAATTACTCGTTTTTTCGTAATCATTAAAGCCGTGGCGACTGGATTAGCGACAGTGGCACCTAACAATGCATCCAAAGAAATCGGTAGACTGTAATCTTCATCTTTCAAGGGCGTGTTTGCAGAGCTTGTGCGGACCTTGCTTGACCATATAAAAGGATCAGTTAGCGCTGGAACTGGGAGATTATAGTGTAGATATGATGACTATGTTATCTGGAGTAGGCAGTTCTTGCCATCTCTTTGTACGCTGTGCTTGTAAGTAAAGCTTTGTGACCAAATTCTGCGTCCTGTTTCCTGGCAACCTCTAGCTTAGCCGGTTGCAATATTTGATAAAAAATTTAAAATATATCATCAAGGCGCAGAATTACAATTATAATTTAAACGTAGCTCCATCTTAAACAGAATCTTAAGACATTATGCTTTAAACCTCTGCCCAACAGCTAGTATAGTTCCGATAACAGCGACAGATTCATTGCCTATCATTCATTTGCTGTAGACGGTTTTCGCGAATGTTTCATCGTTTCGCGCACAGACAACATGCATTGGCTGTACATCTTTCTTGTGCTGATTTCGATAGCTATCGGGATATGGATTGGAAGAAAAATCAAATTGTTTCAAACCTCGAAGACCAAATCCCGCCAGTCTAATGGACCGAAAGCCAATCACCATGGCAAGCCGACTAGTTCCGGTGTCTCAGAGGAAAAAAAGACGGCCAAGGAAAGCGCATCGACGTCCAGCAAGTCCTCGTCAGCGAAATCTTTGAAGTTTCATGGCCTCAAGAAAAAGTTCATCCGTCCAAAAGCGCACATCACAAAGGGCGAACACAAGAAGTAAACCGCTACTGACCTGAATAATTACTTTGGTATTAATTATTAAATTGACTGGTTAAATTAATTATTAAATTGAAATTGGCTGGTTGCTACTAAACTTTCAAAAAAATCAAAATAAAATTATTTTTCACCATTTACTTATGCTTGAAGCATTCTTGTGGAATGACAACATCATCTCCTTCTGGAGTGATGAACTTCGTTGTTTGTCGTTTGAGGCTAGAAAGGTTTGAGCAGAAGAGTGACCAAGGTTTATGATGTCTTGGCCATTAGAAACGGTCTTCTAGATTGATATTATATAGCGTTTATTTCTGCAAGTAGGTAAGTGGCATCGCGGCGTTTTCTCATTTGGCACTGTTCGCCAGTGCGTCAGTGCAGGTTCCAAAGCGAGAAAGGTTTTGAACTATATCAGTCCTTTTTCTTGGCCATTTATCAGACCACCTCACTTTTAATTACAAGAGTTGACAGAAGAACTCAGAAATAGAACATTGTAAGACCCAGCAAAGCTAGTTGAAAGGAAGAGGGGGTGTTCGCGCCCTCACAAATTTGAAACGAGCATTTGGATTAATGACCTGAGTGAGTCGTATCCCTCGTTCATGTGTTTTAATATTAGTTGCAATCTGTTTTATCGTTGTCTTGCTTCAAGCTTCGTGTTCATAAGGTGGGAAATTTTCTAGTATTATCACTGGTGTCCTGATGATATTACTGGCAACACAGGTGGTTAAAGGAAGATTTAGAAATTGTTGCTTTGTGAGTTTGCGCCCTAACCATTTGTAACAGTATCGAATGACGATCTAGCTTTGGCTAGGAAGTGCCAATACGGACCGCAAGTACCGCTTAGTAATTCAAACCGAGTGAGGGCCGGTAGCCTCTGAGTTTGCGGTCAGAGGTTTATGAGCGTCACCATCCCGCACATCGTGTGGTAGCTGTACAAGAATTCCACCAGGAAGAAACGATCAACATCTGCAAGCTGATTCGCAAACTAATGCGTGCGACAAGGAAAGAACCATAAATGCCTACAGATCAGATTAGCCGTTAGCAAATTGATAAAGAATACAATTTGAGCATTCAATATGCATAAAAATATTGTGTTGGCGACTTGTTTGCGTTGGTGAACACAATGAAGTGCATGCAACAGAATCAGGGAACGATGTGAGACATAAATCGACAAATTTATTCCAGAGTGCATCTGTAAACCAGGTCATGTTATTACCTGTATTCGCTATTCAGAATGGCAGTAGCGAACCCACCCTCCCCCCTTTACCCCCCACACACACATATTCGTTAGCAGGCCCAGATTTGCATGGGTGATAATAACCATTCCAAATCAAATTCATGTTGAACGATTTTATTCGCAGAAAACCATGTGATTTACATGCTATTTGCACCACGCTAAGATCGAATACGTACGATAAAAATTGTTAAACCTTTCATCACATAAACAAGACAAGCTGAGTATAACTTGACGCCTTGACGATCCTCACGACCGTCATTCGCACGGGACTAACTTGCGAAGCTTCCAGTAAAACGACTGACATTGGCTCTGGATGCATCGACAGGGCTTGAATTCTGAAACACACGTGAATAAGGCATACAAACAAAGGAAATAGTCACGAGGTCATGGACAAAGTCATGCGCAGATTTGTAAATACATTCGCTGATCTGTCGAAAATGTCACCAGCGAGCCTCACTGCGGGTCATCTGGTTAGTCCCCAGGTTGCGGAGAGCGGAACGACCTCCAGATATGGCGATCAGCTGTGACGAATCACCAGCCTCGGACAGCCTGCAGTGAGTAATCTCAGGGTGGGGCTGGCAACTTGTCAGCCAATCAGTAATCAAGGACGATTTGAAGTGGTCACGTAATTTAATGACAGTCCCATGACCAACCAGCACCAAGATCACCAGTGCCACTGAGGGTCAAAGGCCGGAAGTGACGGCTTAGATAATAAAACAGCCGTAGTGGGTATTTGCCCTTACCAGCTAATCCCACGAAACTCCATACTGCAGACGGCTAAAGCAGTGATGACGGCAACCATAGCAGCAACAACAGTTTGGAATTTCACGGCATATTCAGCATTACAACAATTGGTCGAGTCATTACAGATTCGCATTCCAAGTCTTACATGCCGATTCCGACGGAAATGACGATGAGGGAGTAAAAGAAAATGAAAAAGGAATGTTTATGTTTTAATGTTTATGTTTATTTTGTCATCTTTGGGATGTCGGTTTCCTTTACACTTTCACGATTAGAGGCCACTTGTGGCGCCCTTCTTTTCGTGAAGCTTATGATGCGACGCTGATCTCCGTTTTCATGCCATCAACTACAAAGGCAGAGTCGACAGTAT